GTTATCTGTCCACTCACGGCCCACTAAGTGCGTCCGCAGCTTTATTACCACCCACCGCCACCGCCCCGGGGCGCCGCGCTCGCCGCGCTGCATCCCAACTGCAGCCCCACAGGCTGGCCGTCCTAGCAGCCCCAAAGCGAAGCGCCGGAGCGTGCCAACATGGCGACCAAAATGCCGCGGGAAGGGACGACCCACAATGCCAAAGGCCAAAACACGAGTAGGTGTCTGGCGGCACGGGCAGAGAGGGGCTGTCTTCGACATGAAAGGGGAGAGAGACGGGGAGGGGTGTCAAAAAAAAGTGACCCGAATCGGCCGCGTAGTTTGGGTTCGGCCCTACTTTGAGCCCTCGCGCAAGGTCTTTGTGTGTGTGTGTGTGTGTGTGTGTGTGTGTGTGTGTGTGCGGCGCGCTCGCTAGCGACCCAAAGTAGGGTAATGACGTCGCAAAACCGAAGCAGGCCGCACTCCCACAGGTCCTATTGCCGACACACACGCGCGGGCCGGGACGACGGGCAGGGGAGACTTTGGCTCCGCAAGGCAAGGCGGGGCCAGACGGGGCAAGGCGGGGCCTGGCGGCAAGGCGGGATAGCGCCCAGAACGCAAACAGACAGGGTAGAAACAACAGAAAGGGGAAGAAAGTGCAGCAGGTTTTTCGGCCGTCCGCGCACACGGGGCCAATGCAACAAGTCTCGATCCGCGACTCGCGGCGACTCACGGCGTGATTAACGACGCGCCGCTCGACAGGCACGCTTGCCTGGTCCGCGGCACACACACCGTCGGGGCACGTAGCGATGACCTTGGCGGCAAGGTCGCTGCCAAGGATATGACGCGTCGTCTCAATTGAGCAGTGCCTCTGGAAACCCTACCGCGGCGGCGACGCGTGGCGGGCTCCCGTCCCCCCCCCCCCCCCCCCCACACACACACACACACACGCACACCTATCCTCTCTCAAGCGGTCGTATCGGCTGTCCAAACACACACACACACACGCACACACACACACACACACACACACACAGCAGGCCACATTCCGTCCGAACGACAGCACAGCCACCAGAACGCCGTAACAGTTACGACTCCGGTCCGCGAAAGGGAGTCGGTGCGAGCCGGTGTGGGTGTGAGTGTGCGTGTTCAGGGAGCAGGGTAAGGTGCGCTAAAGACACAGATCAGAGGTGAGGTGAGCCGGCGTGCCGTGTTGACTCAACCCCGGAGCGGCCGTGGGATCAGCAGACAACGCCCATAAAGTCCAATCCGAGTACAAAAAAAAAGAAAAAAATGGCCAGCTTCTTCCCCGTGACAGACGAGCCGCAAGTCGCAGTTTCTACCTTTGGTTGTTCTGGTCCAAGAGACGATAGAGAGGGGTGGCAGTAAAGCTACCCTTTTTGCCCATTTGAAAACGATATTGGAGGTTAATGTTAAAGAAATTAAAAAGAGTGGTTCAGGAATAGTTAGATGTGGATTTGCCTAGCGCACGCCCAGAGCGACGGTGGTGTTGGGGGTCACCATACTTTTGTGTGACAATCGCAGCAGCAACCGCGCCACCGCCGGGCATACATTATCATTGTCACAAACACCCGCTGCTGGCGGCCTAGCGGGGCTGCTTTTGCGTCGTCGGTCCAGCGCCTCTTTGAAGGGCGACGTTCGCCATGTTGTCACGGTCCCCGCCTCGCAGCGCCCCGCGGCAACCCCACCGCACCCCGCCCCACCCCGCCCCGGCGAGCTTATCTAAATGGCCGTGCATGCAAAGGCCGGTACACCTTAAGCCGCGTCCCCCCACCCCCTCCGCGGTGCAAACCGGACATCGGACCCAACTTTTTGATGGGGAAGCAGCACCGCGGCCCTCGGCCGGGAAAACAGGAATCAAAGTTACGTTCCAATTTCGGGAGAGTGGTTGCAGTTTTCCTCCTCCACTCCGATTTACGCCGAAACCCGCTCGCTGTTTGTCCACTCGTTGGCTAAATATTAATTAGCCATTCCCCGGTGCGGGTCACGTGGGTCACCTGCCTCGCGAGAGGGATGGCTCGCTGCCGACGCAGCGCCGGGCTGGGATGCGTGAGCACAACCACCGTTCGGCTGTCTTCGCGGTTAGACTCGTTCCTGAAAGATTCAGGACTGGAACGCGTCCTCGGGATAACAGGACACCCGTTTCAAGGACGGGGGTGGCGACATTCAATCAGATTGCCGTTCAGTCCTGGAAACGGGCGCAGGGCAATGTTTTGTCACCCGGTTCCAGGACGGTTCGAAACGAGTCTTATGACGTCGAGTTGAGAACAGCTCGGACCTGACAGCTTGTCCAGAGACACTATAAGCGAATAGAGCTGCGCTTCCACGAACGTGAAACAATGCTTACAGGAACGTGATCTTTTGTCACATTCGTAGGTGCAAAGTACAGTCGCTTGGCCTGGTCGGGACTGTTTCCGGAACTTTTAGTGAAGTTAGCTGAACCCATGACTTAGATCAAAAAGCAAAGCAGACCCCATGGTCTGTTCTACTTTCTTCCCGGACCTTTGCAGGAAAGCCCGTCAGCATCACAGGGGGCGGTGTCGAACCCGGGGCCATTCGGCGCGGAGCCGCAGCACGTCCGGCGGTGCCTCTCACCCCGCTCACCCCGCTCCGCCGACCCGGCCGGCCCGGCCACTACGACGTGTCCGTGCGGTAAAGCAGTGCCTCTCAACCTGCGCGGCGTGGCGCGGCGTGGCGCGGCGTGGCGCGGCGCTAGCCTCGCACTTTAATCAGCGGAAGCACACTGGCCACTGGCCTTTGGACTGGCTGGCCCAGCAGCCGGCCGCTCTGCTCGGCCTGCCGGGCGGGTACAGTGCGCCGCGACAGACCGCATACCAAGCAAGCAACCACCGCCGAGACCGGCCGGATTAGGTTTCAATTAGCGCGACGCGTGGTGGGGCGGGGGGGGCGGGGCGGGGTGGGGCGGGGTAGGGCGGGGCGGGGTGGGGCGGGGCGGGGCGGAGCGGGGCGAGGCGGGACGGGGCGCGGTTTCTCAGATAAGTCCATCACGATGCGCCACTTTCAAATTGCTTCTGGTTTCCAACTAGATCAGCTGGCTGCTCAATTGGTTTGACGGGTTATTTTGAGGCGGGGGAGGTCGGCGGTCCATGGAGGGAAGGCAGGACGGAACAGCTAGTGGGTGGGTGGGCGGCCCATTTGAAACACACGGTTTTACTACTCCCTCTGTCCAAACAAACAAACAAAAACTTGACCATGTTTGTTGACCACTAACTTACTATGTAACTTTTCGAGCATAGCTTTGCACGGAAATCGAGAATGCGTAGTGAAATAAACGACTCAGACATTAATTTTATTTCACACATATGCTCACTTTCGTGCATATGCACGAAACAAGTGCGTTTTAATTTACTGAGTTACTCGGTGACCTGCGGCCACCCACAGCTAGCGTGGTCGGATCGACGCGAAGAGTCACACCTTGGGCTGTCCGTGGCTGGGGCCTGGCTGGGCCTGGCTGGGGCCGCGCCAAGGGGCGGACCGACGCGTTGCCGGGATTGACCCCCTGATTGGCCGCAGCGTGCCAAACACGCCACTTGATTGCCCGCTCAAAGTGAAACGTTTCATTTCAGATATTTCAGCGGGGAGCCAATTTGGAACGGCCCCTTTTCATGTTCCCTCCCACCCTCCGAGTTTGGGCAGCCAGAAAACGTCATACGGACTGTACTGCAAGGCGGCGAGTGTCTTCTTCGCCCTGAATCGCCGCCGCCGCTGCAACACACTCTCAACTTTCTCCATTATAATGAAATGTTTTGTCGTTTTTATTTATTTTTGTTTACCCTTTTGCGCGCGGAAGGCGCGACAACCTTGAATCAGAAGCGAGTCGGTACGAGGGTGCCCGGGACGCCGCGAACGCCAGCGCGTTGGATATGCGCGCGACGCCTCAAATCATCCCGACTTTTTTTATTCCTCTTTTATGTACTTCTTTTTTGCTGTGGACGCACAGCGTAGGACGGGTTCATATCCCGTCTGTCTGTCCGTCTCACGCTCCCTTGTATAATAAAGCATTCTTTTTGCGTCATGGCCCTGTCGCTCCGCATGGCTTGGGAATTTCTCGGAAAATGAAATGAACATTATGTATCGGTACAGCAGAGGCTTGCGGTGCTCAGGGTCCACTCCCTGAGGACGCTGCGGCCGTGGCTTCGCTTCCTGAAACCTCGGGTTGTGCGGTAGGTACGTCAGGCGTCACCGGCCGAGAAGAACGCCAAGTCACGCTTGCCATCCTCCGATGCTGACGGCATTCCTGCTCGCCAACGGCGTGGAGGACGCAATCTCCCTCGCTGATTTTTTTTTTAAAGTTCCGCGCCGAACGCTTCACCCTTTCGCCGAGAAGGCGTGTCGTTGTCGTGCCGCGCGGCCTTTGGGAGCATGTCGCCCGAAGCCCTCCCACGCAAGGTGAACCAAGGCAGAAAGTTTGGGCGGTAAGCAAGTCCGTAAACAACACACGAACAGGTTCGCAGCAAATTCGGCCCAGTTTATCACATTTCGGCAAAGCCCCGTCACTTTTATGTGCCTACACTGCCCTCCTGAATGCATACAATTGTTTTCAATGTGCAAATTACAACGTCCCTCCACGCGTGATATCTTGCTTTCATAGATCTACTTCCTTCGGAAGTCTTGGAGTCCCTCAAACCTCTTTTCGTTTCCTTTTATGATAAATTGTTTTTGTTAACGGTTTTTTCGTGGCTTTTTTTCGTGCAATATCACTGTGGATTGGCAGCGTTGGGCCCCAGGGCTAGCGGACGTCACCGTCAGTCAGCGCATGCACAAACTTTTGAATTAACGGGCAAGACGACGCCAGGCCGGGCCGGCGCCCGCTTTCGGCGTAACGCCCCGGACTGCCCTGGCCAAGGCCCTGGCCGTCTTGGCTGCTGCCCTGGGGAATGGCCACCATAAAGTCGCCCTAAGTGTTCTCGTCAGCGCGAAGACACGGCGGCGCCGCGCAGCGCGAAGCACGGCGACGCACGTCGAGCCCAAAAACTCACCGGGACGCCGTTGACAGTCCAAGTGACGTTGGCGGGCGGCAGCGACGTCGGCACGGAGCAGTTGGCGCGCAGGCGGTCTGACGCCGAGTACCGCAGCTTGTCCACTTGCATCGACGGGTGCGACGACGGCGGTTCTGCAAGCAAATCAAAACGTCAGCATTTTTTTTTCGGGGCGCGAATAATAGAGGCGCTATGCAGCAGCTTCTTCTTCTTCTTCTTCTTCTCTCTCTCTCTCTCTCTCTCTCTCTCGCTGCAGCAAAGAGCAAAGAGGGGGCAGCAAGAAAGAAAGGACCGTGGCAGGAGAGTCACGGGTCCATGCCGCCCGCCAGCCCTGGCCGGGCCGCCAGCACGTCTCGGGCCAATTCACCTGTGCTGGCCATATCGGGGGCCGGCCATCGCTCATCCCAGATTTAGGGAGCCCGTCCGCCGCGGCACCGTAACGGCGGTGCAGGAGGAGTGGGAGTGCTGGCCGCCCAAGGCGACCACAGTCTTCGACGAGCCCGCACCCAGCGGCACCCACACGGTAAAACCGGTTCCTGGTTTTCCCAGGAACTTCCTGGAAATCGCCTATACCTTCACCATTGGCTTCCTGGGAAAACCAGGTTCCGTTTTCACCGTGCAGCCCTTGCAAGGCGCTTGCCCCAGCGCGCCGAGGCGGCCGTCGAGGCGGCTACGCCCCTCCTCCTGCCAGCGCCTCCAGCGCCTCCAGCCTCGCTTCCAGCCCATCAGCCCGGACCTGAGCTGCCTAATCTGGCACGGCCCACCGTGCCGATCTCGCCGGCCGCGCGCATTGTTATGTAGATGTAAACAGGAGCGCCTGGAATGGTATACGACCACATTCCCACTTTATGCAAGTCCTGCTCTGGCCGTCCTGCAGCTCCCTCCCCCCTCTCCTTCGCTCGCCCCAAAAACTTCCCCAGGCAGCGCCGCCGGCAGACGAGGCGGGGAGGAATGGGCGACGCGGCGGGGCGCTCGGGATTTTATAGGGTGGCTCAGCCCCCCTTTTCCCGCCACGCACACGCGCAAACACACACACACACACACACACACACACACACACACACGCGCGCGCGCGCGCGCACATGCCCCACATAAAAGCGAAATGTTCCGAAACCTGGTCGAAATCGGTCCGAATCAGTCCGAACACCCTCGGACTGTTCCATAGAGCGCCCGAGACCAGGTCGGACTGTCCGCCACGAGCCCGCGTCGGGACTGGGACGGCCCGATGGATGCCCGATCAGATGATGCTTCCATCGGACTAGCCCGTACGGAGCCCGTAGACCCTAGTCCCGAAAGCGACTTGTCCGGCAGACCGATCGGCAGCGAGCCGAGTGTGGCGTGGCGGACTGTCCCTGCCGGTGCAGGCGCGGAAAAGCCCGCTGGCCCGGGCCGGTCGGAGGCGCTCTCTGATTGGCTCGGCCAGGAGGGGAGCCTTAATCCTTCGGCAACTCGGAAAGTTTTGGCCGCCTCGGCACGCAAAACGTCAGTCTCCAGCTGCCCTCCAAGGTGCACGCATCGCGTTTGCCTGCGTCAGAGTCCACTCGCTCGGCGCGCTGAAGCCATGTCGCCTCCGCGCGCTGCAGCCTTGCGGAGCCTTGCGCAGGGAACGAACCAGTTGGACGGAAAGGAGTGTGGTTCAGTTTGAAAAATTTTCTGCTGATGATCGTTCATGACGCTAGTGACTCCACGCTTGCTGTTGTTTGCATCTCCCAAAACTAAAGGGACGGGCGGTGAGAGGGCGAGAGGTGTATCATTTAATTCGCCTTTCCCCGTTCACTCTCGTCCCCAAAGTGCTTTCCATCGGAAATTGTTTTCATCCTACATATCAACCATTTGATTAATCGTAAGTTCAAATCCGGTGCTAAGTTTGCCTGCCACAAAAGTGGCACGCCGTTTTGAATGCTAAACATTGGCAAGCCCGCTGACCTGAAATCTTCCAGTTTGCCCAAACTTAGCGCTTCGGCCGCCAGCAATGCCCAAATCTAGCGAACTCGGAAGTATTTCAGGTCCAGGCTTGCCAATTTTCAACATTCAAAACGGCTTGCCAAGTGCATACCGGCTTTGCAGTGTTGCCTGCACTGCACTTGCAGAGGGAGGGGAGGGGATTCCGAAGGGAGGAGAGGGGTTTCGGAAGGGAGGGGAAGGGTGGGGGGCGGCGGGGAGCAGCCCGCCCTGCTCGCCGGCCTTGCTTCGGGTTAGTCCGAAAAGAGTCCGAATCTAGTCGTCGGACAACACCCGAAACCTTGCCGGATTTCTAACATTCTGGATGTCAGCCGGACCAGTCCGGTGGAACCGTTTTCGGACAGAGCCCCCGCTCGGGCTGATTTGGGAGCCTTTCTTTTTCATATGGGGCGCGCACACTTTTCCACAGAGGTGGATGTTTGGGGAATAATATTCATGAGATTTGGCTAGATTATGTTGCTGGTGAGGTGGCGTCTCCGCAGGTTATATACTACCGCGGCCGAAATAAATGGCCGAACGAAAAGACAGAGGCGACGTTAAAAATGGCGCAGGAGCGCGCCAAGAGTTTTCAAAGCTGCTGTTATGTCAGCGGACCCACACCGTGCCTCACCCTTAATGCCCCGAGAGAGAAAGGGGTGGCCTTGGGTCGACCTTGCATCGACACTGCACTGTTGTCTTCTCCATGAGATCAGAACGACACACATGCACCGCTCGCTGGTGGCTTGAATCACGACCCCTCATTTTCCCCGGAACAACACAATGGTCATTCTTTTCCCGGCGATCTTCAGCTCCCCTCTCGAACTTGATTCGTTCCCGTCTAGACGCCGCTGCTCTCGCTGCACTTTGCTGCGGGCCACAGACCGTCCGCTCCAATCGGCAGCGCCATTCGCCAGACCGCGAGGGATCGCGTCGCATACTTCGCATTCGCAGTCCGAAATAAGAGGGGCTGAAAAACGTTTCCGCGGTACAGGTGGGGGTGGGGGAAAGGCGCCGCCTCGGGGCCGACGCTGGGTCGCCGACCGTGCCGTCGAGGGAGGAGGAGAGGATTTTCCCTTTTTGCCCCGGCTGCTCATTAGATTGACAAGGCAGGCAAAGCAGCTCGGCACGGCGAGACGACGCGTTAATGACACATTTGCTTCATCAGGCACAGCCGAGTCTGTGACGCTGTCTGTAATCCTGCTCTCACAGGTCCGCAGGTCCTTTTGTGTGTGTGTGTGTGTGTGTGTGTGTGTGTGTGTGTGTGTGTGTGTGAGAGAGAGAGAGAGAGAGAGAGAGAGAGAGAGAGAGAGAGAGAGAGAGAGAGAGAGAGAGAGAGAGAGAGGGGGGGGGAGAGAGAGGGGGGGGAGACCGGAGAATGCCAAACAGCGGCGTCAACAGCCTGGCGGTCAGAAGGCTAAACGAAGGAGGAAGAAAAGCAAAAGAAGGAACCAGACGACTACAACATGCGAGTCCATAATGATGGCATCGACCGAGGAGGCAGGGTGTCTTTCAAAATCGAGCCGTGACAGCGAGGGGCTCCCTGGAGGGGTCGCCGCTGGAAGGAGACGTAGTGGGCCGCAGGGACGAAAAGGAAAATTGGCTCACGAAAAAATTGACTGGCTGACCTAAAAGACAAAAAACAAATATAATGAAATAAAGTAGAATGATGAAAAATGAGCGACGGACAGAAAGGTCACCCAGCCCGCCGAAGAGGTGCCAAGCGCGTGAAATCCAGAGGCGCTCCTGTGTGTTTCTCGGAAGCGCATTCCGTAACACCGGCGACGTGGAGCAGCCACCCCTCCCCTCGCCAGCGCCGTGCACTGTTAGAAATTAGCTCCGAAATTTTATGGAGAAAAACCCTATAATCACGTTCATGGAGACTCCATTCATTTTCCATTTTTTTTCGGAGAGATTTTCTCAGGGTTTATACAGATGTTCTTCGGAGCATTCCTTGGGTCCAGATAGGAGGTAAAATGCAAGTCTTTTCTCAGATATATTAAAGAGGACTTCGCTGAAGCATTTTTTGGTCTGAAATGGTCAAAGAAGGGACAATCTCATTCGAGCTCATTTGACTTATATCCTGTAACTTTCCCTAAATATTATGAAAACTGAGCTCAAGAAGTAGGGGTTCACCCTTCCCTCAATTTTTAACTGGTTGCAAACCTTCTTTTCGTGTTTTTGTGATAGTGCAACATATATTTTTGTTCAAAATTCCGAAATTTTTCGGAGAAAGCCCAGAATTTGCATTTATGGAGAGCTCCATGCAGAAGTTTCGGAAAAACTCCATGATTTTTCCATTTTTTTTTTCGGAATTTTCTGACAGTGTGATGACTCCAATATCGGGGAAGCGGGGCACGCGGCCGCGCGGTGGCAATATTTTAAAAAGTTGGCGCGAATATTGAAATCGATCCGAAACCACCGCGACGGCCGCGCCCGGCGGCAAGGTGCTTGGCGGATGAATGCCTATCTGGCAGGCGCCGCCGCCAGGGCGCAGCCAGGGCACAGCGCGCTGGCGCTGACGGCCCGAGCGCAGCGCACGGTGCGCCACTCCGGATATTGTGTCCCGCCGCGACTCTCCAGCAAATTGCTGCAAATGACCAAAGTTTCGACTCCGTCATCTATTTAGAATGAAACCCATCAAGGCGGGAGGGCCGCCTGGACGGCGCTGGCAGGCCGGGGCGGCCGCGGATATGGTATTCCGATTCACCTCTGCGGCGAAAGGAGAACGGACGCGGAGCGGATGAGGCTGACTAGCGGAACGAGGATCTACCACCAATATTTCTCGTCTCATTCATCCGCTTTTGCTCTCTTCTGGAGGCTCGAGCCTGCCGCCAAAAGTTGTCACTCTATCTTGTGCCGCGTTTTCGGGAAACCATCCTCGCGAGCGACGCCCTTGAAAGCAAGGCCCCGACATGCCTTGGGTGTGCGAAGGCTCGCGCCTTGAAGCGATGTCCCTCTGCATTATTGAGTGCCTGCGGCGGCCTGCGGGGACTAAAGGGCCAAGCAGAGGGCCGAGGGCCGCCGGGGCCGGCAGCAGCGCAGCCCGCAAATATGTGCGCGTGGGAGTGAACGCATGAGTGTGTGCATTTACGTGTCCGCACGTGCTTGTGGAGTGCGCCTGTTGTGAAAATGGTACGGGTGAGCGCACGGCTAAAACGACGGTTCCTGGTTTTCCTGTGGGAAACCCAGGCAC